TTACTCCAAACCGTTCTTTTCTTTGATCTTACATTTTCTTTGCCAACTTCATCAACAGTCTACGCAATTTATAATCGACCCTGGTTCACCTTCGGAACCGCGCATTCATATTAAATCCGGTTCACACTTACATAACTTTCACTTCCTCTTCATTTCCAGCAATCGTTGCCACACTCGCCAGCGGCCATCTTTCACCACCCCCCCGCCATGACTTGCTTTCTACACACTGCGCGGATTGACCTTAGAAGTGCATTCTCAATTTTCATTGGTTGATTGCCTCTCTTTTCCAATTTCCTACCTACTGCCAACTTACTCGCGGCCTCCACAAACTGTTCAGCGAACACTTTCACAGCTGCGTATTCCGTACTTCAATCTCACCCCTCTTAAAGCTTACGTACCCGCTTACGAGTGCTTTTTTCTGCCTTCTCCCCTTTCGGCCCTTTGTCCGCCGCATTGCCTACTGATTCGTCATCCCAATACAAGCAGCACAGGTAACCCGTTTCGCTAACAGCTTCTTTTCTTGGCAGTAGTCAGTTGATGTGGGGTGAATTAAGCATTTCCTGGATAACTTAATACGGCGTTAATTTGTCGAGATTCCACTTTGCATATTAGAAAACACAGGCAAACATGTTCAACCGCAGTCTCACTGCCCACTTGCGACGGCACATAACATTCCACGGCAGCAGCTTCCGTTCACGCAGACATGGGATGATGTCCGTTGAGTCTATAATTCGCCTTATTTCCTCATCACTTGTCCGGCTTTCCTCTTGTGGGCCTCTCTTTCTGTGTTTAGAAATGGCTTCGGTTTTACAAACTTACACGAAAAGTAATCAGTCCATTTTAGTTCCTCTAGATATTTACATTTTTAACTAATTACCAAACATCGAGCAATTCGACTTCTCACAATATACTCACAGGCATAGGACCTAGGTTCGTTACAATTTATTTTACAACTGACACCCATTTTCCACGGCATTACTGTCCCCGATCACGTTCCCACTGGTTCGCGTTGCAGTCGGTGCAGTTTCAGTGACCTTGACCGTCCAATTACCCTTCTTGGGGGTGCGAATTGGTTTTTTAGGTTACCAACACTGTAACGCAACAAGACTTCTCTTACTGCTTGAACATTATTCCTTTCTTCCTTTATAGGAAGAAATGCCAGCAAATGCCCTGGCCAGCCCGACCGATGCCGACACGGACGAACTGGGCGCTTTGAGCTGGCCGGAGGACGAGTGAGGCTGATTTGAGTTTGAAAAAGGATAATAAATACGTCTCGGTCAACTCGTCTGCGTTTAGCAATGGCTTCGGTTCTACAAAATTACGCGAAAAGTAGTCAGCTCAAATTTGTACCAGCAAACATTCTCACATTTTTACTCATTTACCAACATTTCGTAGTTCCTTTGCTTACAATATAGTCACGGCCCTACGACCTTTCCGTCTACTCCCTACCTGATCATCCACGTTAGACTTTCTTTCGCATCACATTCTTTCATTGCATTTGCTATTCATGTCGTTTTAGTGCCCACAGTTTGGATTCGCTTCCTTATTTAGGAAAGATGGAGCCAAAGTTTTCGCAATTTTTGCTAGTTAGACTACAGTTGCTAGCGGATTGCTGTTATGGTGGCCTACGTTCCTATCAGATAACACGCGCAAGTTTGCCACTTTTGATTCGCCAATTCCACTAGAGTTGCGAAAATCCCCATAGCAGTCCTCAGAAGACGAGTTGGCGAGCATACATTGCTTTCGATTAACTCTCCTCCGGCCAGTACAATTATATGAGAACGGGGTATAAGAGACGAGCCCATAGGAACACCGTTGGTCGCCAAAAAGGAACTGTACATGTAAAGTGCATTTCAGTAAATATCCTTTGAGTGTGTTCGTCGAAATTCCTATTTCTTACTGATTGTTTGATAGAAAATCACAGATGTACTCAACTGTCTCGGTAACCGAGACATTCGTAAAAAGCGATGTAACGTCTATCGAGAACACCACCATGTCGTTAAGGTTGTCGTCAATGAATTCAAAGGTATCTCGATAGCTGCGTGGTGTCAGCTGATGCTGTACGGGCTTGAGTTTCTCCATTAAGCACTTTGCTATAGCATGATACGGAGAGTTTCGCATGTATAAATTCGGGCGAACGGTTCAAAGTGTCCTAAGCCAATAGGATCATCCTGAAAACGAGCTGTCGAGCATACGTTGTCTTCGACAAATTCTCCTCAGGCCAGTACAATTATATGATCCTGTGGAGCAGGTTATATTGGTCGTACGAGTCGGCGTCTATCCAAAAGAATACGAGAACACCTCCGCGCATGGTTGAAAAAAGGCGAAATTAGGAGCATATGCAGCGCCATTCATGATCATGCAGTTGATTCAGAGCATCGTGGACACCGGCGAAGCTTTTCGTGTGATTTATAAAGTCCTCCGGACTATCCTAAGCTATTGGGCCAGCGCCTGTTGGCAGCAGCAGAAGCGGCCGCAATCAGGTTATGAAAACGGACCCTATGCGCCTAGAAGAACCTCGTTCAGGCTCCGCGCATACCGTGGTCAAAGGTCGACTAACCACATGCAACTTTCTGCGCCCGTCCGCTCTCGCCCCGCTTGTGTTTTAAAACTAACTTTTTTCGATTTTTCAATCACTGACATGATTGACTGGACCCCGTTCCCATATAATTGTACTGGCCTGAGGAGAATTTGTCGAAGACAACGTATGCTCGACAGCTCGTTTCGAGGATGATCCTATTGGCTTATGACACTTTGAACCGTCCACCCCATTGAATTTTGCACAATTAAGTCGAAAGCTTTTGTTTAAACATTGGTTATTTCGTTATTTAGAAGAGACTGGTCAGAAGCCAGTATGTCCCTAATAACGGTTCCGAAGATCCTATTAGTTACAACCTACTTTCATGTCTCCTAGCGGTTTGACATACATATATCCATGGGTCAATTCTATGTAAACCTATCCAAGTCGTCCGGAGGCCCTAGAAAAACCAAGGACGACTGACACTGAGCACTCTTGAACCCCAGGACGCCTTCTGGACGCCGTCGCCGATCCCGCATCGCTTCCGCTGCCCGGACACAACAAGACTTGCCTCCGAACGAACCTGTCCCTGCCATAGGACATCCCCGAGTTCCCAATCCCGCCCGAACTCCGGCCCTCCTATTTTCGTCGTCATAATCCCCAAAGTCACCTTAGTAACCTGTTTTTTCTCCACTCGTAGCATTCCTAGCCCTCGTTCTAGTTAGGTTCGTTACAATTTAATTTACAAACGGACACCCACTTTTCACGGCATTAGTGTCCCCATCACGTTCCTATTAGTCCGCGTTGCAGTCCGTTCAGCCTCAGTGGCCTTTTAGACCTCGCTCCCAAGTGCTGCACCCTAAAAGCCCCCATTACCACCATACCCGTTTTACAGGGGTCCCTGTGTTGGATATGTCTGATAGGCTTACATATTCAATCCTTACCCAGTGGCCTTGTTTGACTTGTTCGGAGGAAGGGATTCCTGTGGGGTGGAGGAAGTCCCAGCGGCGCTGGCAACAGCAGCATCAGCAGCGGAGAGAGGAGGAACAGGTTGCGTAGAATTTCCGACGAGGTTTAGGGGCCGCGGGAGGACGGACGGAATTGGGGCGAGGGAGGGGGACGGAATTACCGCCGGGAGATTGCAGCTCTCCGTTGTGGTGGGCGAAATCGATGATGGGGTCGCTGCTGCCGAGGGTTGGGGATTGGAAAGTGGTGGGGTAGATGCCATCGTCACATAGGGTTCCTCGTCTGAGCTTGCAGCCAGATCGACAAACAGGCTAGAACGTTGAGGTTAGAAATGGAAGGAAAAATAAAACTGCATATGGAGGCTCACACCAACAAAATCCAAAAGTGCTGAATTTACCAGCTGGTATTGCCTGCACCGAATGGACCTTTGTCGACAGCGCATTTAGCTTTGGGTGTACACGCTTCAGCTTTTTGACTTCATTGGGGGGGGGAGGGGAGCGTTTAAACAACCTTGCGATCTACTTGCGCCTTCTTGTGCTTTCCCTTTCACTTTTTAGCCCTCGCTTCCATGTGATCCACCCGAAAAACCCCCATTACCACCATACTCCTTTTACAGGGGTCCCTGCGTTGGATATGTCCAATAGGCTTACATATTCGATCCTTACCCAATGGCCTTGTTTGGAGGTGGGGATGCCTGTGGGGTGGAGGAAGTCCCAGCGGCGTTGACAACAGCAGCATCAGCAGCGGGGGAAGGAGGAAGAGGTTGCGCAGCATGGCTGGTGAGGTTTAGAGGTTGCGAGGAGACGTGCAGGAGTGGAGCGATGTCCACGGAGAGGCGCGCGAGGGAAGGGGACGGAATAACAGCCGGAAGACCGCAGCTCTCCGTTGTGGTGGGCGAAATCGATGATGGCGTTGGTGCTGCCGAGGGTTGGGGATTAGAAAGTGGTGGGGTAGATGCCATCGTCACATCGGGTTCCTCGTCTGAGCTTGCAGCCAGATCGACAAACAGGCTAGAACGTTGTGATTGGAAATGGAAGGAGGAATAAAACTGCATATGCAGGCCCACACCAACAAAAAACCAGACTCGCAGAGTGCCGACTGCTGGATCTCATGGTCACAGCTGAAGTTAACAAGTTGGTTCGCTTGTATTGCATGGACTTTTTTCGACTTCTCTATGACTTTGTATGCAGGAAATGACAAGTAAATGGAAAGGCATAACCGACTGAACACTAAACAGGTTACTGATGGAGGATAGAAAAAAGCGGCCTACTTCGTCGGTCCAGAATCCAGCGCCTCAGGAGGAAGCTCTGCCGGCTGTTCATCAGTGACAGCAGCGGGAGGGGACGGGGCGCAGAAATCATTCAAAGACGTGGAATGAGCAAAAGTGGGCTGCTCCGGTTGCGTCTCGTCACCCTCCTGGTCATCGTCATCATCGTCGTCGTCGATGAGAACGACACAGTCACTGGATTGAGTGGCATCAGGCTCTATTGGAGCAACCGACTCAGATGATATATCCGACTCCAATATGCAAGGCGACATCGTAGAGGTCCCATTCAGCAGTGAGGGAACAGCAGCAGTTGTCTGGTTGTCCGTTGGAATTCCGGGAATCGACTCGTTGGCGGAAGCAGTAGCAGAGGAATCACACTCGGCGGGGTTGGA